AGCATCTAACGTGGAGATGCCTTATCTCATCATGGTATCCATACAAAGCCACTAACGAAGAGATTCACAAAAAATCAAACAGTCAGAGCATCTCATGGTGTCCCATATCTGCATTGATAGATGGAGGATTTTGCCCAAGAAGAGGTTAGTCATCGAGCCTTAGTGGCACAAGAAAACTTAGGATTTCACATTCAAAGACCGAACTCGAATGAAGAATTTTTTAGTAGCATTCCCAGCAGGATTCGTCGCCATGTTTCAAGTCCTCATTGGTTGGTCTTCGAAATTTTCCAAGCAGTGGCCCATCTTCATTGAATCCGTACACGAAAAGCCAGAAATAACGCCTCTCCGGCAAACCACGTTTTGAAATGTTCCCAACATAACGATCCGGACACGAACGCAGCTAAACACAAACTGATGAGGATTGTAAAATTTCTCTTCGTATTTATACCCAAAAAACTCTTCTATGTAGTGTGGTGCCTATTTGGATGAAATTTAAACCACCACTAAAAGTAACAACAGCTGTTCTCTATTTAGGCGGGCATTTTTGGATACAAAGGAATTAGGGGTAAGTAGGGATAAACATGTATCCAAGTTTTTGTTGTTGTTTTGTTTTACAAAGACGTCTGTCTGGCCACCCAAAAACTGTGTTATTTAGCCAAAGCAATGAAAAAAACAATTATGGCTCAGGTAGAAATGGCGTTAGATCTAAGAAGAATAGGGAGACGGGGTACATACATACATACACACACACACATGTCTGTGAACCTAAATGTGTATTTAATGATTTCCGGTACTAAAATTTTTAAAACAAACTATGTTCGGAAAAGATTTGGATTTTTTTTTCAATTTAAAGAAACACAATCATTACAAAGAAAGTGCATGAAGCCGATGTCTGTCTAAAGGGTTTGTTTCGGGAAAAGAATATTTTTCATAGTTCTACACTAGGTAAGCCACCCTTAGGGACCTACGCTAGGTGAGTCTTAAAAATGTTTAAGGTCCTACACAAAACGTAGATTAAAAACCAGTGAGCAGTATAGTCGGACGGGGCCGACCATAAGATAGCCTACACAACTTCCACGAAAATCTAACTTTCTGCGGTTGAATATTCAGAGCTTGGGCAATATTTCCCGATATTTGCACCCTCTTGACCGACTAGATGTCAACAAATATATCTAATATTCAGTAGACGAGGGGTGTACTTGTCCAGATCCTCTTTACCGTGGGTTATGTTGTGATGTTGGGGCTTTCAATTGTGGCCTATAGATCGAATCGGAAACAAAATTAAAAAAAAAACAGTAAGGAAGGTACTAAAGTCGGTCGGGGCCGACTATATGATACCCTTCACCACTTGGGTATATTCATTAGATGGAATCAGCACACATCATTCAACACTCAATTCAGTACACGCAAGTCGGAAGATATATAAGGACTTTGGTGTACCATTTACATAAAATCGGACCAACCTATATATGGGAGCTATATCTAAATCTGAACCGATTTTCACGAAATTTAACACACATCATTCTGCACTTAATTCAGAAACTTATGCCAAATTTCGTGTAAATCGAAAGATATATGGGACTTTGGTGCAACATTTACATAAAATCCGACAAAACCATATGTGGGAGCTATATCTAAATCTGAACCGATTTTCTCGAAACTTGACACACATCATTCTGGATCTAATTCAGTACTCTATGTCAAATTTCGTGCAAATCGAAACTTGGCAGACATCATTCTGGACCTAATTCAGTACTCTATGCCAAATTTCGTGCAAATCGAAAGATATATAGATACGTTAGTGCACCAGTTACCTTAAATCGGACGAAACTATATATGGGAGCTATATCTAAATCTTAAGCGATTTTCTCGAAACTTGGCACACATCATTTTGGACCTTATTCAGTACTATGTGCCAAATTTTGTGCAAATCGAAAGATATATAGAGACGTTGGTGCACCATTTACCATAAATCGGACGAAACTATATATGGGAGCTATATCTAAATCTTAACCGATTTTCTCGAAACTTGGCACACATGATTCTGGACCTAATTCAGTACTTTGTGCCAAATTTCGTGCAAATCGAAAGATATATAGGGACATTGGTGCCCCATTTACCTTAAATCGGACGAAAATATATATGGGAGCTATATCTAAATCTGAACCGATTTTTCCCAATTTCAATAGAGTTCGTCCTTGGGCCAAATAAGTGACTTGTGCCAAATTTCATCCAAATCGGATTATAAATGCGACCTGTACTTTGTTTACAATTTAACATCTACAGACGGACGGACAGACGGACGGACATGCATAAATCGACTTAAAAAGTGATTCTATGCATATTCTCAAAAGGAACCATGTGTCTATCTCGTTTCCTTTTGCCTGTTACAAACATATGCACAAAGACATAATACCCTGTACCACAGTGCGGTGAAGGGTATAAAAAATAAGTGACCATAACGGGAATCTCCATATGATGGGTAATGGGTTACTAAATATTATATAAATACGCAAGGACCTGTAAATATTTAAGTGTAACTCCCACATCCGAGTACATACGACAATATAATTGGTATCGATTTAAAGGTCAGTCACTTCTCGTCGATACACTATCAACTTCTCGGGTATATATCCTTCAGGTGTAAATATATACGCCATACAATACAAAATTTTGTCGAGATATGACGATCGGTATACTTAAAGGTGGGTCTAGGACCAATATTTCGCGGCGTTACAAACTTTTGGGGCTGCACAAAGCTATAATACCCTGACAACATAGTTGTGTAGGGTATAAAAAGGTCATACACAAGGAGTGTTTTTTTAATTATTTTTAAAGTCCTACTCAAGGTATGTATTTAAAAAAAATTTTTTAGTCTTACACCAGATTTACTTTTTTTGAAGAGTTTCTTTGTTCGTAAAATGTCGGTTTTGTGAAGAACAAGTACTCACAAATGTGTCTATGTACATAGACTTATTACGCATTTACGCAAGTTCACCCGAAAAAGGCGGATACATGTCTTTCTTTCAAAGTGATATTTGAAATGCAGTCTGGTTTTAATTATCATACAAATTCTTTGTTCTTCTCTCTTCCCCTTAGTTCACAAGTACAACATTAAAGATAAGAAAAACTGGAAATTGTGTACCCCATTGTTGTCGCATACGCATCGAATGTGAGCAGCTGTTCAAATGAGGACAAGGGTGGTCCAATTGTGTTTACTTTCGAAATAAATGGAAATATAAAATAAAAATAAAATGCTATTATTTGAAGAGGGTATGTGAGAAATGCGCCATTGAAATTAAATGCATTTTTCAATATTTACACACACAAACAAAGATAACAAGTTCGGAATTTGAAATAAAAGGGAAAGTGCTAGATGAAGTTTTTCAGAGGTGGATTTTTTAAATATTTTTTTCCAGGACCTGTATGAGGCGTGGATTTTTTAAAATATTTTTTTTCAAGGACCTGTATGAGGCATGGATTTTTTTAAATATTTTTTTCAAGGACCTGTATGAGGCGTGGATTTTTTTAAATATTTTTTTAATGACCTGTATGAGGTGTGGATTTTTTAAAATATTTTTTTCGAGCACCTGTATGAGGCGTGGATTTTTTAAAATATGTTTTTAAGGACCTGTATGAGGCGTGGATTTTTTAAAATATTTTTTTTCAAGGACCTGTATGAGGCATGGATTTTTTTAAATATTTTTTTCAAGGACCTGTATGAGGCGTGGATTTTTTTAAATATTTTTTTAATGACCTGTATGAGGCGTGGATTTTTTAAAATATGTTTTTTAAGGACCTGCATGAGGCGTGAATGTTTTACAATATTTTTTTCAAGGACCTGTATGAGGCGTGGATGTTTTAAAATATTTTTTTTTTCAAGGACCTGTATGAGGCGTGTATGTTTTAAAATATTTTTTTTCAAGGACCTGTATGAGGCGTGGATGTTTTAAAATATTTTTTCAAGGACCTGTATGAGGCGTGAATTTTTTAAAATATTTTTTTCAAGGGCCTGTATGAGGCGTGGATGTTTTAAAATATTTTTTTTTTCACGGACCTGTATGAGGCGTGTATGTTTTAAAATATTTTTTTTAAGGACCTGTATGAGGCGTGTATGTTTTAAAATATTTTTTTTTCAAGGACCTATATGAGGCGTGGTTTTTTTTAAAATATTTTTTTTCAAGGACCTATATGAGGCGTGGTTTTTTTAAAATATTTTTTTTCAAGGACCTATATGAGGCGTGGTTTTTTTAAAATATTTTTTTTTAAGGACCTACAGTAGTATTTCGATATGGCCTTATATGTTTTCATTTCATATTTTGCTCTATTTATAAATAAAATCTCTTTGTTCTCAAAATTTCTCTTTTAACCGGCATTTTCCTCCTGGGTTAACACGAAAACACCTGTCGTTTCAATCCAAAAAAAAAAATGAAAATATTTACAAACAACAAGCATGACAACATGGCACCCTATAGCCAGTATTGGATGATATTTCAAGGTCTAACAAAGGGTAGCTTTTCCGCTTCCGCACACACCACCGATGACTAAGGACAATATGGCACGTGTTCTGGCCAAGTCTTAGAGGGTGGCTAGTAACTGTTGTTAACCAAAAAGGAATACACCTTGCTTGACCATTTAAAACACATGGCATTTTTTGGCTATAGAAAGGGAGGGGAACGGGGTGAAGTCCTAACTTTCAAATCGATATGAATATTGCCCTGGTGACGACATAGTACAAGCTATGCGTTTGGTTCGTGGCAAATGGCCAAGACAAAAGTTCAATACAAGTCCAGGCGAGTGGACGTGTGTGGTGTGGTCTGAAGAGGTTGAAGAAAATCGAAAGAAAAAATTGAAAAAGTTTGGAAGAAAAGTTTGCCTAGTCACAAAAGGAAAAACGAAGTGGGTCGTGCTAAAAATGTAAAAAAGTAAAAAAATATTGGAAAAAGTTTTTGAAAAAAGAAGAAAACCCACAATCGCCTTTAAATATTCCCCTTTCTAGTATGGATTTAAGTTTGAGAGGTTCACAGGTAAGGTTTTTCATCTTCCCGTTAAAGGCGAACAGATAAATGCAAAAATTTACAGACCTCCTAACCTCCAATTGCAGATAAATTTGGTTAATCGTCAAAAACCCAAACCAAAATTTAGTTCACAAAATAATCTCCTGAGAAGTGGGACATTACAGAGACCCAGCTCTCAGTTGAGGCCACGTTCGGCAAGTTTCTTTGATCGACGTTGCCAAAATTCACCATTTCCCTTTCGCCCGCAATCGGCAGATCCGAAATTTGGTAGAAATTTCCATAGCCCCTGTGGTTCGTTTGGCACAAATACCGATTCGGAATATTCCAATTTGAATTTAAGTAAAAGGCAACAGCAGCGGTTCCAATCCGTGTCCTCTTCGAATTTATTAAAATTATTGTTGGATGAGCCCATTCGAAGGCCATGGCTTTGTAAGGATAACTCCTCGACTACTCACAGTGATGGTGATGCTTCCTCTAGTCGGGATAATCAATCGGAATTAAGTTCATATCGTCGAAGTGGTAGCTGTTCCAGTCTTCATCGCCCCCTGAATAACGAAAAATTTATGACCACCCTTAGAAACCCCACACGGAAAATATCCACCACACAATCTATGCAGCATACCAGCAAGGTTACTTCCACAAATAATTCGTATTATCAAACATCGGGGTCTTTGAAACCTGATCTGCCAGGGAGGGTATCATTTTCGAAACCCTCATCCTCGAATATTCCAAGTGACAACGATTCCAGTGATTATGAAAATCCCTATTTTCATAAACCACACATAGCAGCTTCAGAGGAACAAAGTATTTCAGCTCCAGGTCCCGTCAAGCCTGAGGATTATAATTTTGAAACTAAACCCAAATTGGGTCTTACCAAAGAACTTTCCAACTTGAGTCTCAAAAAGTCGGTACATTTTGGTTCCCCAGCCAATGGTGAGGAGGTTGTAGCGGAAACCTTTGAATATCCCAAGTGTCCTTCGGAAAATTGTTCCTGTAGCACAAGATCTTCTTCGTCGAGTAGCCTGCAGGATCCTCTCAGTCCAAAGTGTTATTGTAATCAGCCCAGCTGTAAATTTTATGCGGAAACTTCTTTGAATAAAAATAAAAATTCGGAAATGGAAAAATCGCCCTCCCTCTCACCTTCCCATAAAATATCCAGGGACCTCAAGGAGCCTGAAGAGTCGCAGGTCATAAGAGACTATAAAAATGCTGTGGGGGAACAATTGGAAAACTCGGTGGTAAAAAATATTTTAGATGAAGGCTCAAGCAGTACCAAAACCTCCAATGGTCTAAACAATTTTGAACTGCCCTCCTATCTTTCCAAATATTCGCTAAACTCCCAAACCAGCGGCGAACGTCTTGACAAACCCAACAATATTGCGGAGAAAAACAATAGCCTCAATGCCTTTAAAAGTGAAATGGCCAAAAAGGACATTTTGAAAATGGATAACAAATTGGAAACTTTGAGCTCGGGAGGTAAGAAATCTACCACAGAATCCGTAATAAATAACTATCTAAAGGTGTCCGGATCCACCGCCAACATCATTAAGAAAAAGGAGAATAATAACAACAAAAATTCCGAAAATGACAACAAAAAGCCCAGCTCTGCCTCAGCCACCACTCCCATTTTGGCTACCCAAACGAAGAATAATAAAACCAAGCCCCCCTCAGCTTCCACCATAGCTCCGCTAACCCAAAATAACATTAAGAAGGCCAAGAGTTTTGGTAATTTGCGTGAGGATTCCAATTTACAAGAATTCAATATTGATAAAATCGATTCGTGGATGTCAATGCATGAGGAGGCCCAAAATAGGAAAAAGGATGGGGATGATCTGGCTAAGCATGCCGCCTCCCTGGATGATTCATTTGAAAAATTTACACGCGAGACTTTAGATGCCATGGATGCTGATGGTGAGGAAGACGCAGAAGGCGAGGCAGATGATGAGGATAAACATTCGCTGAAATCGTTGGATCAGTCGCAGGATGATTCGACCTATGAGGAAATTGTATCGGTGATCAAGGAGATTGAAGAGGATAAAAAGAAGGGTGAGTATAGAATTTTTCTTCCTATAGTAAAAATCCCCACAGGTTCTGTAGCATTTTATCCTGTAGAAAAATATGTCCTCTGTACTTCAGAAGAATCTGTAATTTTTTTCGTTTAGTCCTGAAACCCTTTTTCCTAATTCCAAGTTTCCAAACTCCCGACTTGCCTTCTAGATAATTTGGCCGAACGCATGAATTCCGAAATGGATCTAAAGCTGAGCACTACGCCAAGCGTGGGTACACCTCATCCAACTACGGAATCCGAAAAGCCACCAAAATCTCCAGACAAGTTTCGAGATATTCTCAGCTATTTGGACAATGTGGAGGATAGTTGTGAGAAAACATTGCTGGAGACCAGGCGATCTATGCCGGATAGCAATAGGACAGAGGTGGAGTTTGTGGTCGAACCAGATATTGCAGAAGATGTTCCGAAGTAAGTGGATACTTAAAAAAAAATTGTGTCCTTAAATCTTAAAAAATTATCTTCTTTTCTCTTCAGGCTCTCCGATTTGCTAATGCTACCCAATCATCAATTGGCACGTCGGGTGATTGCCCTAAGCCTTCGAGCCAATGAGCTGGCCAATGCGGTACATCTCTCCAAGGAGCATGTTATGAAAATACGTACCGAAAAACAGAAGACCATACGAGCGGAAAAGGCCAATTCCGCCAATCGTATGAGGGAGCAAAAGAAACACTACGAGACCATTGTTAAGAGGCATCAGGGTTTCATCGAACAGCTGTTGAAAGATAAAGGATCGCTATGCGAAAAAGTCGCAGCCCTCACTCGTCGCCTCGAAAGTCAAAATCAAGCCTGGGAACATAAATTGGAAACCGAAGTCGCCCGAGTAAAGGAAACCACGTTGGCTGGAGAGAAAATACGCCGCGAAAGATGGGTTCGAGAAAATACCAAGAAGATTAAGGTAGGGATTGAGGAAAATTGTGGAGAATGGGTTAAAGAAAATTTACGGATATTTTTTTAGGAATTGACTGTGAAGGGTCTTGAGGCGGAAATAAATAAAATGAACTGCAATCATCAGCAACAAATCACCGAACTTAAGAGGGCCCATCAACAACAGCTGCTGGATGCTTTGGAGGAGGCTCGTCTAAAACATGAGCAGATTGAAAATAGTATTCGTGAGTCCTGTGCCCAGGATAGAGAGTCGATTATTAGCAAGGAGAGAAATGCCATAAGGGAGAGGTAGGAATTTTTAAATTCGAAAATTTATCTACTAAATCCTAGGTTTCTAGAGAAAAAATACCATCTCAGGTCCTGGGGATGAAACATTTTCTTTAGAAAATGTGACCTCAGGTCCTGATTTTCAAAATTTCTGTAGAAAGACCTGACCTCAAGCCCTGAGGTTCAAAAATTTTCTAAAGAAAAATCTGACCTCAGGTCATGAGGTTCAAAAATTTTCTAAAAAAAAAAAAAAATCTGACCTCAGGTCCTGAGGTTCAAAAATTTTCTAAAGAAAAATCTGATCTCAGGTCCTGAGGTTGAAAATTTTCTATAGAAAAATCTGAACTCAGGTCCTGAGGTTGAAAAATTTTCTATAGAAAAATCTGACCTCAGGTCCTGAGTTTGAAAAAATTGTCTATAAAAAAATCTGGCCTCAGGTCCTGATGTTGTACATTTTAATATAGAAAGAAATCTGACCTCAGGTCCTAAGGTTGAAAATTTTCTATAGAAAAATCTGACCTCAGGTCCTGAGGTTGAAAATTTTTTATCTGACCTCAGGTCCTGAGGTTGAAAATTTTCTATAGAAAAATCTGACCTCAGGTCCTGAGGTTGAAAATTTTTCTATAGAAAAATCTGGCCTCAGGTCCTGAGGTTGAAAATTTTTCTATAGAAAAATCTGGCCTCAGGTCCTGAGGTTTGAAAATTTTTCTATAGAAAGAAATCTGACCACAGGTCCTGAGGTTGAAAAATTGTTCTATAGAAGAATCTGACCTCAGGTCCTGAAGTTGAACATTTTTATATAGAAAGAAATCTGACCACAGGTCCTGAGGTTAAAAATTTCTCTATAGAAAAATCTGACCTCAGGTCCTGAGTTTGAAAATTTTTCTATAGAAAAATCTGACCTCAGGTCCTGAGGTTGAAAATGTTTCTATAGAAAAATCTGACCACAGGTCCTGAGGTTGAAAATTTCTCTATAGAAAAATCTTACCTCAGGTCCTGAGGTTGAAAATTTCTCTATAGGAAAATCTGACCTCAGGTCCTGAGGTTGAAAATTTTCTATAGAAAAATCTGACCTCAGGTCCTGAGGTTGAAAATTTTCTATAGAAAAATCTGACCTCAGGTCCTGAGGTTGAAAATTTTCTATAGAAAAATCTGACCTCAGGTCCTGAGGTTGAAAATTTTCTATAGAAAAATCTGACCTCAGGTCCTGAGGTTGAAAATTTTCCTGAGGTTGAAAATTTTCTATAGAAAAATCTGACCTCAGGTCCTGAGGTTGAAAATTTTCTATAGAAAAATCTGACCTCAGGTCCTGAGGTTGAAAATTTTCTATAGAAAAATCTGACCTCATGTTCTGATGTTGAAAAAGTTTCGATAGGAAAAATGTCACTTCAGGTCCTGTTGTTGAAATTTTTTTATAGAAAAAAGTTCAGCTTTTATCCTGAGGTTAAAAAATGTTTCTATAGAAAAAAATCTCATTGTAGGTCTTGAGGTTCAAAATTGTCTATGAAAAATTTCACTTCGGGTCCTGAGGTTGAAAAAAATCCCTATAGTAAAATCTTATTGTCTCTCCTCTCTCCCCCAGATTCGAACGCCAGCTGGAAGAGGAGCGCAAATCCTTCGATGAGCAAAAACAAAAACTAGCCGAAGATTTTAATAACGAAAAAGAACGTCTGCAAAATGAATTGAAATCCAAGGAATTAGAACTACAAACTAAACGTTCCGAATGGCAACGTGAAAAGGAGCAGGAATTAGATCAAACCATTACCGAATTGCAAGAAAAAATGTCGAAACAAGAAGAAAAATTCTTGAATCGTATTAACACCATCGAAAAACAATATGAAGCCGATTTTGAGCTCTGGAAAAAGGAATACGAAAGTCAGTGTAAGGCCCAACAGGCGGAAAAGGAGAATTCAATACGTCAACATTATCGTGCTGAAAGAGATCGTCAAATCGATGCCATTGTCCAGCGCATGGACGCGGAGGCGTTGAAAAATAATGAAGAATTTGAAAATAAGATGAGGTATTTCAAAATCTATTTTGAAGGGTACAACATTTTTGGTCTATTTTTATCTTTTTTTTATTTTCTAGCCGTCTCCGTGAAAAATATGAAAAGGACTTGCAGGAGTTGGAGAACCTGGAAAAATCGGTGAGAGAAAAATACAATGACACCAGATCGAAATTGGCGGAATCCGATGCCCAGGTTCGAAATTTTCAGGCTGAGGTGAAACAGTTGCAAATTGAATTGGAACATAGTAAGAAGGTAAGTTAAATGATAGTTTAAATATAAATATATAAAAAATATAAATTTTTGTTTTTAAATAATATTTATTTGATCCCGAAACCATATATTGCCAACAATTCCGAAATTTAAAATTGCATTTCATTTGAATTGTTAAATAATTTATTCCTCCTTGCCTTTTAGATGTCCTCCGAATTGCTCATGGAACGTGATCGATTGCGTGAGAATCTTCGCAACGAAGTCCAGAGTGAGGTGCAGGCATTGAAAATGGAACGCGACGAGGAAATTCAAAAGATTCACAAGAGGTAACCGAATCTATAACTTCAAATTTTGTTTAATTTCTAATCTTGCCCAATTTGTTCTCAGGGTCCAACAAGCCATTGAAAAGAAGGATGCCACCATTGACATTCTCCAAAAGGAGAATGGTTCCTTGCGGGAACGCTGCCTTAAATTGGAGGCTGTTATACGCCAACAACGAAAGGATTATTGTGTTAAGTAAAAAAAATATGTGAACGACAAAATGAAAATGTTTAAAGCATTTAAAAAATACTACGGCTCAAAATAAAATATTGAATTAAGCTTAAGAAAAAGATGAAATTTTGTTAATCTTCAAAGAAAAAAAGAAAGATCTTAGGACCATATGGTACATTTTTCTACAGGAAAAACTCTCAAAATCAGAGGATAATGATTGAAAAAGTCTTCCAGACTTGAGGATTAACAGATAAAATGAATTACAAAACATTATCAGATTGAGAAGAGCATTCCGGAGCCAGGGCATCATTATAGAGAGGACATTATCAGCAATGAGAGAAATACCATAAAGAATTCCGGGGCAATATATATTCAAACCCTCAGGTCCAGAAGATAAACCAATCCGTTGAAAAATACAACCTCGGTTCCTGTGGATACAATATTTTTTCCAGAAAACCTGAGGATAAAAAATGTTTTTAGAAAAAATATTACCAGAGGATTTTTATAGAAAAATCTAACATCAATTCTTAAGGTTGAATAATTGTCCATAGAAAAATCTGTCCTGTAGAAAATTTTCCGCGTGACATTAAGAACCCTTTTTTATAGAAAGAGAATATAATAAGTGTTCAAAAAAAATCGGAACCTGAGGATTTGTTTCTAATAAAAACTTCTCAAAAGCAGAAGATAATTTGTCAATAGCATGATTTTCTATGCAAACATTTTTGGAGGATCTTTTTATATAGAAAAAAATATATGAGGATCTGCGTATACGTATTTTTATGAAAAATGCCCTCTGTACCTAGAAATAGGTTTAGGAAAACTTCACAGTAATTTTATGTATAAAATAAGTCATCAGGTTTTGGTGATATTCTTTCCTAGGAAAAAGCCATAAGGACCATCAAGACGTGAGCAAATATTTTTTATAGAAAAGTATTTTTCCTAGGACATAGGGATGCATTTTTAAATAAAGGAAAATATATACTCCGACCTTGATATAAATTTATTATTTTTTATAGGAAACCTAGGCATATATTTTCCTGCATTTAGGAAGTCCTCAGAATATAAGCATAATTTTTTATAATGTTCGAAGGGTTTAAGGAGACCTGAGAGTTTGCTTTTTTCAGAACATTTCCATTGGAACTAAGCCCTTAGGATAACCTTTCTATTTATGATTTATAAACAAATCGTCAGGTCGTAAGCATAATTTAAAAGAAAGTTCCCAGTACATCAGGATATTTTCTATAGAAAAATATGTTCAGTAAGTGATACTTTTGTTCATATAATTTCAATCAATTAATTTTTTTTTTGGAGTAGAGGGGCCTGAGTATTTTTTATTAATTTTTTTTATGTGAGTTCTGACTTCTGACCATAGACTTTTTCTCCTCAGTAAATTAGATATGAAACCATAAAGTTTTCGGGAGCTGAGGATAATTCTTTTACTGTAGAAAATAATCATTTCCGGAAGAACATTTTCTATATTGAAGACAAAATACAAACTCAAATCCTCTGGAACTGAGAAGATTTTTTTTTTTTTTGCCTATGGAAAATATTATAGGGGTAGATTTTTTTATTGAAATAGTCATAATATTATTTATTAAAAAAAAACACACACACACACAGATCCTGAGGATAATTTTTTCTATAAATAAATTTCATTAGGACCAAGGGCTATTTTTTTTTTTTCTTGTAGAAGACGAAATCAGGACTGCAAAATAGGTGCCAGAAAATAATCATAACCTGAGAATATTTTTATCTGTTATATCTACATTTGGTTTTGTACCAACAATTGTAGGGTAAAATATACGAAAAGGACCCTAGCACCTAGGTCATCACGTTATTTTTAGACAAAATCGTCTGACTTCAATTTTCAGTATAGAAATAATCAAATAATCATAAATCATAACAAAATCACATTTGGCAATTTCTTAAGAAAATCTTTAGGAATGAAAAAAAAAACATCCTTTAAGGATTCCTTAAGAAACCCCATTAATGAGGGAAAATATCCTTTAAGGATCGAAGCAAATTTTTCCACCGTACAAGAAACTTATTCACGCGAAAACCATACCATTTCGTATCAGTTATAAACCCCTGTTACAAATCATGATAGCGCCCCTTAACCCTCAATTGTCTCGCTATGATACCAAAATATGACATGGGAAATATCAGAACTTTTCCACAAGAACAGCTAATAAATCCATCCCCGTTTTCTGCATCTATCCTTTATTCTTCCTGCGAATGCTCTCTTGCAAATTACGAACCTTTGGTATATGCTTAATTTTTTAACAAAAAATCTCACGATAAACGGCAACAACTTATCTCTCATTATTTTCAAAACCGTAGCAATATCCCACAAGACAATTCCTTCAGAAAGTTCCTTGTGTTAATAAAGGATATTCAAATATTTCAAGCAATTCAATTTTCCAAAGCACCTCAACTACCTCACACCAATCTCACCATAATGATTCAATTTTCATTGGACATTTTTATGTGACATTTGCCTTGTCGGAAAACCCTTGAATTTTTTATCTGACATGTTGATGCCTTTTTTTATTTCACCCATGCCTACCAAAATTCTGATTTCATAGTTCAACACTGTTATTTTACACTAATTTCTCACGATTTCTCCTAATAATCATCGATCTTTTGTCATGGGAACATTTTTGAAAATCTTAACACATTCCCACAAGACAAAAATCCTTGTAAAAATTCATAGTGATGCAAAAAACAGATCCCTTAATTTTCCCATACAACAAGTGTATTTCCTATACATAACTACCCCTCAACGATCTCATAATGTGTTATGGGAATATTCATTCTGTGATCACTTTCCCACAGAAGAACACACCCTTGAATTTTTGTGTGACTTTTTTAAGGAGCTTTCCTTAATTCATCATTGAAATACTATCGAAATTCCTGAGCTACTGGTATTTCTGTAGCTCAAAACGGTGTTATTTTACCACAAATTCTCACGTTAAACCATAATCACCGATTTCGTTCGTAAACATCGTGAGAATCTTTTTTTTAATCTCAACAAATTTCCCACGAGACAATTCCTTGAGAAATCCTTTGCAATAAAAGTAAGATTCTCAAATAACCCAAGACATTACAATTTTCTCATACAACAAGTGCATGGGTATTCTCAATGGTCTCATATGCATTTATATTTATAGGCATTATTTGATCACTTCCCCACGAGAACACAAACAGCCCCCGATTTTTTTTTTTTTTGAGTCCTAATAAAAGTACTACCAAAAATGCTGAGCCCCTGGTATCTTTTTTACTCAACAAGGTGTAGTTTTATCACAAATTCTCACGATAAACTCCACAAAATTCTCAATCACTATCGATCATGGGAATAACATCTTAACACATTCCCACGAGACAATTGAAAAAAGTCTATTCATAAAAAACTTCTTAGTGTTGAAAAGAAAGATCCTTAAAAAATATCAGACATCAATTTTTCCCAAGCAACAAGTGCATGGGGAGAAAGGAAAATTCTCACACATATTATATCCTCCCTTAAGACTCATTGAAATTTGTTTTCTTTCATGCAAGTATTTTCCCATTTTCTCACGATCTTTCTTAGTTTGGGAAAATTCAAAATAAAATCCATACTAAATTTCCTGAGCTCCTAATACAAACATTTTAAAAAATACGAAAGTGATGTTGAAAATTCTCACGATTTGAAGGAAATTCTCAGGCTAAGGCACAACGTGTGGGAAATCTTTGTTTCTTCTTAAGGAAAATTTTTCCCAAGGTTAAGAAATTTTCCAGTGTGGGAATTTTGTGGATAATTGTGGGAAAATCTATTTCTTGAATGATGATATTCTCCTCTCATTATCATTGTGATATTCTCCTTCTCTTGTTTCAGTGTGTGTGTTGGGTTTAACCAACACGTGCCAAATTCTGTTTAGGTAGTTGTGTACTGACATTTAAGTGGTTTTGTCAGTTACCAATTTAGGGGATGAAAAAGACGAACGTGTGCATATAGACGCATGCAAGTGATTAAGAATCCTTAAACGTTTTCTAATTATGGGAACATTTTTAAAAAGAAATACTATTTTTAGGAGAAATTTCTAACTAAAATTTCTGAATGCCTGTTACGTGAATTCAATGCCACTGTAGATGATTCAAGTTTTTTCTCACGCCAATAAGTTGCAGCGTGGGAATTTCAAACGATGGGAATTGGATTCGTTCCAATTGTATGGGAAAAAGTCGTCCGTAGGAACGAAAAATAGAAAAAAATCAAAGCTAAAAAATCGGGCCTTAGTGAATGAGAAATTATTGTGGATATCATCTCAAAATTTTAAATACCTCAGGTACTGAGGTTATGAGTATTTTCTATAGAATCCCTAAGTAGGTTATTCTTCTAAAGACAGTAGGCTGCCTAGACAAAAGGATGTCGTCCAATAGAGAAAAGGCATGACCGTATATAGACCGAAGGCTGGTCAGAAGACTGGATTTCTATAGTCAGAAGGCTGAATTTCTATGGACTTCTATAGACAAAAGGCTGTCCATCCATAGACAAAAGGCTGGCTTCTATGGACATAAGGATGTCGACATATAGACAGAAGGGTGTCCTCCAATATCTGACCTTATATAGACAGAATATATAGTCAGAAGGAGGGATTTCTGTAGACAGAAAGCTAGCATTTTTTAGTAAGAACACTGGCATTCTATAGACAGACGGCTGGCCTTCTATAGACAGGATGCTGGATTTCAATTGACAGAAGGCTGGTCTTCTCTGGACTTAAGGATGAACTTCTATAGGCAGAAAATTGGCTTTTCCTAGACATTAGGATGGCCTTCTATAGAAAAAAGGCTGGCCTTCTATAGTCAGAAGGCTGGATTTCTATAGACAGAAGGCTGGCCTTCTATAGACAGAATGGTGGCCTTCTATACTCAGAAAGCTGGATTTCTATAGACAGAAGGGTGGCTTTATATGGAAATAATGGTGACCTTCTATGGGCAGAAGACTGACATTCAATGGAGGGAAGACTGGGTTTCTATAGACAGAAGGAAGGCAATCTATAGCCAGA